GAACTCTTTGGGGGGTCCAAGTGTTAATAAGGGTGGTCATTTGAATCTTGACCTTTGCAGGACATCAAAAAGTACTTTGCATTACTTACTTTTCTGTCCTTTCTTCTGTTATTCTTAAACTACTCACTGCAACTTCATGATTCGATCACAGACTGTCCGAAGACTTTTGCACTGTCATCCCAATTTGTTGCCACTAATCAGAAATCAATGCAAAATAAATAACCACAAGATGCTTGCTGCCGTAGAGTGGTGTAGGAATGAGTCCGGCAACAATTGCATTTAGATCTGACCAAAAGAGATTTAAAAAAAAATCAGAAATCCATGAAAAAAAAGTCAGAATAAAAAATAAATTCCGATTTTATTTTCCTCAAAATCAAAATTGTGACTTTTATTTCAGAACAAAAAATATGTTTTTTTCACTTTTCGCTTCTGTTTTTATTAGAGGTAATAAAAAAAAGTGTGTTTTCTAGATTGAAATTCAGTTTTGGGTGTATCAATATTCAGTCTTTAAATTGTCTGATTGGGTTTGCAGTATGAACTTGGACTTGAAGGCCAAATACATTCATTCAATGGGAATTTCACATTGCAAAAATCGAACATATGCAAGTGTAACGGTGAAATAGGTATTCCTTAATTGTGTCTGAAACAGTCAGGTTAATTGGTCCATAGTGGTAAAGACAAAGCGTTGTAGCCTAAATAAGGTGTAGGTAAACCCAGGCAGGGTTGAGAGGATTACCGGGTCAGACGGAGTGAGACTGTGAGATCCTACAGGAGCTATAATGGAGCCCAGAGATCAACGTGGTGATAATCCCCGCCTGACGACCAGTTGACGGCCGGCTGAAATGTCTTTATTGCTTTGCTGCCAGCCCACTGCGTGTCTCTGGAAGGCAGAATGTTCTTTTGTTATTCTTAGTGCCATAGCCTTTTATCACAGACTGTCCTCAAACTTGTCAACGTTAACCCCGTCTGGTGTTGTCCTGTGTTGCCACGAAGCAAAAACCAATGCAAAGTACCCTAAGATGTGACGTAGTACCACTGGTGCTCGTTGCCTTATGGTGGTGCAGGAATGAGTCCTAAACCCCCTAAATGACTCTGAGAAGCATTTGATAACTTCCCCTTCCCTGAGGGCAGCATGTGAAATTTGCATCGAGAACTGCCAACGTGATCATCCTTTTTGAGTTTTAAGAATAAAGTCAGAATACCGAAAACGTCTCAGAATTCCAAAAATAGGAATTTTGGAAAACGTCAAAATAAAAAATCAGAATTCCCCCCAAAAAGTCTGACTTCCGAATAAAGTCTGAATTCCATAAAAAGTTTAAAAAAAAACGAAAAAGTCAGAATTCGGGGAACATTCAGAATTCCCCCCAAAAAGTCATGATTCGAACAAAAAGTTAGAAAACCTATTTTTTTTTAGTCAGATTCAGAAAAAGTCTCAATACCAAAGAAATAATTAGGATTCGAAGAAAAAAAGTTAGAATTCCCCAAAAAAAGTCTGAATTTCTAATAAAATCTGAATTAAAAAAAAGTCAGGAATGCAAGAAAAAGTAATAAAAAAGAAAGAAAAGTCTGGATACCCTAAGTCAGTGTATGGCCAGCTATACTCTCTCCTCCTCCTCTCTGGAAAGCAGAAGGCATGGGGGGGGGGGGGGGGGGGTGTAAGGGGCAAATACAGGCCAAGCTTCAGGCGTATATAACGAGGTGCTGTTTGAAAAGGCTAACTCCCCGATTTCCAAAGCCTCCATTTGGGTCTATATTGGGAGGTAAGGAGAGCGGAGTGGAACTCCTGCAAAGGGACTGATTGCAGAATTTAAAATAGCTTCTCAGTGGGAACACGGGTTTGTTGGCCACAGCTGTCATTAAAGGAGCAGCTTTCAGCCGTTAACAGCTGAACATCACACATTTAGACACACACACACACACATACCATGTATACATCACTTCAGGGGACATTACATTGACTTACATGCATTTCCTGGAGACTTATCCTAACCTTAACCCTAAACAACACATGCCTAACCCTAACCAAGTATTCACCCTAAAATTAATGATTCCCCTCATGGGGACCTCCAATTTGTCCCCATAAGGGAGGCGAGTCCCCACACGTGACTGTGTAAACAGATTTAGGTCCCCACAAGTATAGTAATACACACACACACACACACACACACACACACACACACACACACACAACACACACCACACACACACACACACACACACACACACACACACACACACACACACACACACACACACACACACACACACACACACACACACACACACACACACACACACACACACACACACACACACACACACACACACACACACACACACACACACACACACACACACACACACACACACACACACACACAGGGGATAGAGGCCTGAAATAAATGTTAGCTTCACAGCAGCCTGACAGACAAAAGAAAGCATCTTTGTTTGTTGTGAGCAATTCGATGAGTGATGTTGCTAAGACAGATGTATAAATAGACTCAAACAGACAGTTAACAGCCTGTCTTGCATAACTAATTTAACTTCCTGGGTAATGGCTGGAACAGCAAACAACTCCTCACACAGTCTTACAGTCTTTCTCCATGTTCGTTGTGATTTTACACTGGGTTTTAAATCATACAAACCATGTTTTTGTTAAACTAGCCGACAGCCCCCTCGCACTTTTACATTAAGTTATTTACATTTACCGTCAGGCTAATGTCCACAAATCTAGCAGAGGCGATTGAAGTTGAATTAGTCATCAGTCAGAGCCTCATTGGGACCCTAGAATGACATACAATCCAACCTTTAACTATTACCAATTACCAAGGAAGCAGCTTTCCATGGATGATTGTGAAGTCGCTCTTATGACTATAATTCAAATTACTATGGTGCTTTCTGGCCAGGAAGACATTTACAACAAAGTGGAGCTTTGAGAACGCAGAACTCCGTGAATGACTTATATTGAGAAATTAACAAAAAGGGAAAAAAGGATATATCTAATGATTGACCAAGATGATCAAGTCCAAAATGTAATATGTTCTGCCTTTACCCTCGCTACATCCTTCCACCAAATTGTATGTAGATTGGGCCGGTGGTTTCGTCGGATATCCTGCCGACAGAAACCAGACAAGTTCGCTAATTATGCATCTTCTTCTTCACAGGTGGATGATGTTAGCTTATCACATCGTTCCTCCGTTAACTCTCCGTATGTTCCTCTGAGGCTATGACTTCCCATGGATGAATGTGAAGTCGCTCTTATTGACTATAATTTAAATTACTATGGTGCTTTCTGGCCAGGAAGATATTCACAACAAAGTGGAGCTTTGAGAACGCAGAACTCCGTAAATGAATTATATTGAGAAATTAACAAAAAGGGAAAAAAGAATATATCTAATGATTGACCAAGATGATCAAGTCCAAAATGTAATATGTTCTACCTTTACCCTCGCTACATCCTTCCACCAAATTGTATGTAGATTGGGCCGGTGGTTTCGTCTGAAATCAAGCTGACAGAAACCAGACAAGTTTGCTAATTATGGATCTTTTTCTTCACAGGTGGGTGATGTTAGTTTATCACATCGTTCCTCCGTTAACAGCATTTTATAACTTCCACTTCCCTTAGGGCCACCATTTTAATTGACATCGGACCAAAAGTGTTTATAATTTTTGATTTCTAGGAATAAAGAATTCCCAAAAAAAGTCAGAATACAGAAAAAGTCAGAATTCGGGATAAAGTCAGAATTCCACAAAAAGTTAGAATTTGGGATAAAGTCTGAATACAAAAATAAAGTAAGGATTTGAAAAAAAAGTCAGAATTTGGAATTGAGTCAGAATTCGGAATTATGTCGGAATTCGGAAAAAAGTCAGATTTTCCCCCCAAAAAGGCAGAATTCCCTCAAATAAGTTCAGTCAGAATTCCCAAAAATGGAATGGGTTCTGCCTTTACCCTCGCTACATCCCTCCACCAAATGTTATGCAAATTGCGCCAGTGGTTTTGTTGGAAATCCTGCTGACAAAAAGCAGGCAAGTTAATTATGGATCTACTTCTTCACAGGTGATGGATGGTGGCTTATCACATCGTTCCTCCGTTAACTCCGAGTTCCTTTGAGGCTTTGACTAACCCTACTGTGAGGGAATAATTCTGTCTTTGTCACGGTGTGTGAAGCAGGTAGGACCCAAATGCAGATCAAAGTGAAAATTCCTTTATTTCAAGGCTAGGTGAAAACAAAGACAAAACAGAACACTCACCGACGAACTAGTCATGACAAAAGACGAACCGACAAAGACAGACAGAAAAACCAGAACTTAAATACACACAAGACTAATCACACAAACAAGACACAGGTGAGGAGGGAGGAGAAAACACAGGGGCCACAGGTGAACACAATCGGGTAATCAGACACACCAGGAAAACTAACGACAGGGAACCACAGACAAATCCAAACAAGACACAACGCAGACAGAAACAGGCAAGACAGGAGGTGAAGACCTTTCAAAATAAAACATGAAACAAGACAAGACACCATAAAGACAGATCGTGACAGTCTTACTCCTAAGATATTTAACTGTTGACGTTTATAACCAACCCTGACTCGTTATCTCCTTTAAAGAATGTGCTGCTGCACTCATTCTCAGTTTTATGACCGGTCAACTCTCGGTCACAGAGCCTAAGAGTCAGGCAGGTGATTCAGTATGTCCAGATGTTGGGGATATCTCCAGTGTTCCCAGCTGTTGATTAACTCTCTGTAAACTAGTTGAAAGGTCTATCGAGAGAGAGGCTGGTCAGATTTGACATGGCAACCCACCCGTGCAGTGACTGAATTTCTCCGGCCGATACTTGTAATAAACATCAGTGTTTGACATCAAAGCTCCAACTCTCCTCGTGTCTCTCTGAGTCCTGACTCTCCATTGCTGCAGAAGTTCCCTTACACCTACCAGTTTGTGGATGTCCTGGTTTGATTCCTGGAAAGATTAATAATACATTTTGTTTTGAACAGGGCACTGAATCAAAGGGAGAGAAACATGTTGCTTTCCAGGAAAATGGGAACGCAGGTAGGTGGAACATTTTACATTTCTCATGGGTAATCTGACGAGTTGACCTCACTTTTGATTCTGTTTGGTTCTCAGAAAGCTCATCAGTGGCCTCAGAGGTCGTTGAAGTTGTTTCCCAGTCCCACCGGTCTCTCACTAAGCACACCACAGAGTCTTCTGGAATAAACAACTCTCTGCAGTCCAACGTGGAAACCATGCCTGGTCAGTCCATTCAGTTTATCCTTTGTTTTTGGTGACTATATTGGATCAAGAGCTATGAGTTTGAATCTCCACATGGCAGACATTGTTGTGTCTTCTGAGGCCGAATAAATGTATAACTCGACTGGATATACTCTGGATAACTCAGGAAAGAGACCGGAGACAAGAGCTTCTAAGATCTACGTGTTTTAATTGCAAGAAAACCAACATAAGACATTTTTCAAACCCTTATGACATGTACTGCCAGGAGCGGCGGGGGCTGTAGGCTAGGGTAGGCTAAGCCTTCCCAAATATTTGTGTCACTGCATCCTAAAAATAAAAATATAATGTCTAATGTCTGTGTCTTTGACATTAGCGCTCCTAGCCACCTGTGCCCTGTACTACAAAGCCAGTTCAACAGACCCTGGTTATCAACTCGGTAAATCAAGCCAGGGATTCTCTCTCCAGCTGAGAGCGCGTTCACGTGAAAGGGGCGGGGTTAGCTACATTTGACCAATCAAAAACAGGGACAAGTGTACTGACAGCGCAGCGTCATACTTCATTAATGAAAAGTAAACTAATATTAGACAAATATGAAATTTAAACATCCATAAACATATAATCCAGGATACAAGCCACAGAGTTGCTGCAAGGAGAATACAGAACAACTGGTTAAAAAATAAATAAACTACCGAGTGTTTGAAAGCGTATAGTTTTATGATATCACTGCCCCTAAGACACGAGTGGATCTGACTTTAATTACATTTGACTCGAGTGTTTCGTCAACATAATGTGTTGCTTAAAATAATACTTCAGCATACAGTATGTGACACTGTGAGTGACGCACGGCCAGATACGGCTCAGCTGACTCAGATAAGGAAACATATGATATATTATGATATTATATGATCGATGATCTGATTGATGATGTGATATGAATGATGAGTGCGACACGTCGGCGTCTTCTCTGCATACGGCAGTTTAAACTGTATTTCCTTTATCCTGTAATATGACTTGAGAGATTTAAACTCCGCACACTGAGCTCTGATTGGTCAGCAGGCGGTGCTTTCACTGAGTTGATCTCTTTTCTATAGACGCCGGAGGCGGGCAGCGTCAGGTAAAAACAGTTATTTAGCCTTCCCAAACTTGAGCCTCTCGCGCCGCCTATACTGTATGTAGTAACGTGTGTTGTTTATTGTTCTCTTTTATCCTCTCTTATCCTTTATTTTATATATTTTCTTATATCTAATGCTGTTATATTGTAATTTTAAGGGTGTCTATTTATTACCATCTGGCCGGGGACAACAGCTGGAAATTAGCCATGTCGGCTAAAGCTGCACCATTTACTGTTTTTGTGACAGCTCATCGATGGGACTGTCCACGACACTATCAATAAACTCATTATAAAGTCACAGATCTTAGATAACGTACATCATTTCCTGTACTTGACTCCTATATTTGTATAAACAGTCATTTCATGTACATTCATATACTATATCCGTCTGAAACTACAGTAAGAGGGCATTTGCGTTTACAAATCATTGTTTTACCAACGTGTAAACCGATGGTTGCGGTTTGATGTCGGCTGGTATTTTAAAACGTTCTCAAACTTCCTAGGAATCAAGCAATCATTCCAATTGTTCCAAAAAGAAAGTGAGGTTCTCAGAGTGGTTACTTCATACGGACAGAGATACATATTTTTACTCTATATAACTCAATCTAAGATATTGTGAAGGTAAACTTCTGTTGTTGCAATGTTGAGGTAGAATGAAGGAGTCTGGAACCGTTGTTAGCCAAAAGCACTGAAGAGTTTTATTGGAGAAAGTACAGACAATAACGGCCGGGAGATCATCTTAGTTTCACACATGTCCAGTGCTCCACCAGCGCACCAAAAGACACAAAACATCTAACCAACACGAGGAGAGGCGGGCTTCCAGAAAGCCCGCGTATAATCAATAGCCGATGCAAGACAATGATCTGCTTGTCTCAAAGAGATCCTGCCAGATCTCAAACCCCCCCACGGATATCGGAGAAGCGTTTGACCTGTGACCTCAACCTACAGTGGAGTCTTTGAGTGACTACAAGCAGATGTTTGCAGTATCACAGACTCTAAGGAACCATAAAAGACTCTATAAACAGATCAGATGAAAATATTCTCTTACAGATATATTTTTACTTAGAGTCTATTCATGTACATTCATATTCTAAAGCCTTCTGAAACCATGAGGGCATTTGCGTTTACAAATCATTGTTTTACGTGTTTGGTGTGTGTGTCAGATTTTAAGTCGTTAACATGTTGTGTATTATTGCTCGAGGAAGTTATAGCTGTTTCAGAGTACGCGTGAAGGATCAGGAAGCTCTTTTTTGATTATTCTGACACTGGGAGCCTTCTGTAAGCTGTTGAATTTACTTTAACAAAGGATTTATTTTTCTTCACCCAAAGAACCAAAAGAAACTCCAGTTGTTGATGAACCCCTGCCCCATCTTCCAGTCACCGCCATGTTAACCAAAGAGGGCCTGAAAGCCGCCCAGTCCCATAATGCAGAAGCTCCATCAGGTGAGTGTCTCTAGAAGGTAGTGTCTCTACTTTAAAGAGTCCTCTCCTGATGATGTTCAGGTGTATATCAGTATGTAGTGTCTCTACTTTAAAGAGTCCTCTCCTGCTGATGTTCAGGTGTATATCAGTATGTAGTGTCTCTACTTTAAAGAGTCCTCTCCTGCTGATGTTCAGGTGTATATCAGTATGTAGTGTCTCTACTTTAAAGAGTCCTCTCCTGCTGATGTTCAGGTGTATATCAGTATGTAGTGTCTCTACTTTAAAGAGTCCTCTCCTGCTGATGTTCAGGTGTATACCAGTATGTAGTGTCTCTACTTTAAAGAGTCCTCTCCTGCTGATGTTCAGGTGTATATCAGTATGTAGTGTCTCTACTTTAAAGAGTCCTCTCCTGCTGATGTTCAGGTGTATATCAGTATGTAGTGTCTCTACTTTAAAGAGTCCTCTCCTGCTGATGTTCAGGTGTATATCAGTATGTAGTGTCTCTACTTTAAAGAGTCCTCTCCTGCTGATGTTCAGGTGTATATCAGTATGTAGTGTCTCTACTTTAAAGAGTCCTCTCCTGCTGATGTTCAGGTGTATACCAGTATTTAGTGTCTCTACTTTAAAGAGTCCTCTCCTGCTGATGTTCAGGTGTATATCAGTATGTAGTGTCTCTACTTTAAAGAGTCCTCTCCTGCTGATGTTCAGATGTATATCAGTCTGTAGTGTCTCTACTTTAAAGAGTCCTCTCCTGCTGATGTTCAGGTGTATATCAGTATGTAGTGTCTCTACTTTAAAGAGTCCTCTCCTGCTGATGTTCAGGTGTATATCAGTATGTAGTGTCTCTACTTTAAAGAGTCCTCTCCTGCTGATGTTCAGGTGTATACCAGTATGTAGTGTCTCTACTTTAAAGAGTCCTCTCCTGCTGATGTTCAGGTGTATACCAGTATGTAGTGTCTCTACTTTAAAGAGTCCTCTCCTGCTGATGTTCAGGTGTATATCAGTATGTAGTGTCTCTACTTTAAAGAGTCCTCTCCTGCTGATGTTCAGGTGTATATCAGTATGTAGTGTCTCTACATGTCTCCGTGCTTTAATGTTCAAAAAGCTCTTCATTGTTCTCTTACTGTCTGTGCTGCAGCACCTCTTTTCACCCTCTGTCTGAAACCAGAGCCCAGTCTGCTCTGATTGGTTAGCTGGCCGGCCCTGTAGTGATTGGTCAACCTCTTAGAGATATCCTGCCTCTTAGCCTATCACGTACAATGTGTTGGAGCGCTAACCAATAGAAGCACAAGTCTTATATACTGATGTCCCCATGTTCCGGAAGTAAACAAAGGAGTCCAAGGCTGTAGAAACAAACCAACTTTCTTGAGAAACGTTGTCATTTTCTGTTTTTCTTTTTGTGTTATTTTCTTCCTTATCTTACCCAGTGTTTATTCTGTATCATCCTCTGTTTTGCAGCTGCGTCTGTAGCAAAGGAGCTGAGGTCTGCGATGTCTCAGGATCAGTCTGGATCAGTTTCTCAGGGTTTGGTTCATCATGCTGTCACCGCCTCGACCAGAATCAGCTCTGAGACTTCACTCAAATCTGATCTGAGTCCTGCTGCAATCCCAGAATCCCCCAGCATGAACAGAGGCGGATATCCATACACTCGAGGTGAGGTCAATGCTTTAATATATCACACTGCGCATCAGAGGTGGGAAGTAGTGGAGTACAAATACTTTGTTACTACACTTAAGTACATTTTTCTGGTATCAGTACTTTACTCCACTACTTATTTTTCTGACGACTTTTTACTTTGACTTCTTACATGTTGAACACAAATACCTGTACTTTCTACTTCTTACATGTTGAACTCAAATACCTGTACTTTCTACTTCTTACATGTTGAACACAAATACCTGTACTTTCTACTTCTTACATGTTGAACACAAATACCTGTACTTTCTACTTCTTACATGTTGAACCCAAATACCTGTACTTTCTACTTCTTACATGTTGAACTCAAATACCTGTACTTTCTACTTCTTACATGTTGAACCTAAATACCTGTACTTTCTACTTCTCACATGTTGAACACAAATACCTGTACTTTCTACTTCTCACATGTTGAACACAAATACCTGTACTTTCTACTTCTTACATGTTGAACTCAAATACCTGTACTTTCTACTTCTTACATGTTGAACTCAAATACCAGTACGTTCTACTTCTTACATGTTGAACACAAATACCTGTACGTTCTACTTCTCACATGTTGAACACAAATACCTGTACTTTCTACTTCTCACATGTTGAACTCAAATACCTGTACTTTCTACTTCTTACATGTTGAACTCAAATACCTGTACTTTCTACTTCTTACATGTTGAACACAAATACCTGTACTTTCTACTTCTTACATGTTGAACACAAATACCTGTACTTTCTACTTCTTACATGTTGAACCCAAATACCTGTACTTTCTACTTCTTACATGTTGAACTCAAATACCTGTACTTTCTACTTCTTACATGTTGAACTCAAATACCTGTACTTTCTACTTCTCACATGTTGAACACAAATACCTGTACTTTCTACTTCTTACATGTTGAACTCAAATACCTGTACTTTCTACTTCTCACATGTTGAACACAAATACCTGTACTTTCTACTTCTTACATGTTGAACTCAAATACCTGTACTTTCTACTTCTTACATGTTGAACTCAAATACCTGTACTTTCTACTTCTTACATGTTGAACTCAAATACCAGTACGTTCTACTTCTTACATGTTGAACACAAATACCTGTACGTTCTACTTCTCACATGTTGAACACAAATACCTGTACTTTCTACTTCTTACATGTTGAACTCAAATACCTGTACTTTCTTCTTCTCACATGTTGAACTCAAATACCTGTACTTTCTACTTCTCACATGTTGAACACAAATACCTGTACTTTCTACTTCTCACATGTTGAACTCAATACCTGTACTTTCTACTTCTTACATGTTGAACTCAAATACCTGTACTTTCTACTTCTTACATGTTGAACACAAATACCTGTACTTTCTACTTCTCACATGTTGAACTCAAATACCTGTACTTTCTACTTCTTACATGTTGAACACAAATACCTGTACTTTCTACTTCTCACATGTTGAACTCAAATACCTGTACTTTCTACTTCTTACATGTTGAACTCAAATACCTGTACTTTCTACTTCTTACATGTTAAACTCAAATACCTGTACTTTCTACTTCTTACATGTTGAACACAAATACCTGTACTTTCTACTTCTCACATGTTGAACTCAAATACCTGTACGTTCTACTTCTTACATGTTGAACTCAAATACCTGAACTTTCTACTTCTTACATGTTGAACTCAAATACCTGTACTTTCTACTTCTTACATGTTGAACACAAATACCTGTACTTTCTACTTCTCACATGTTGAACTCAAATACCTGTACTTTCTACTTCTTACATGTTGAACTCAAATACCTGTACTTTCTACTTCTTACATGTTGAACTCAAATACCTGTACTTTCTACTTCTTACACGTTGAACACAAATACCTGTACTTTCTACTTCTTACATGTTGAACACAAATACCTGTACTTTCTACTTCCTACATGTTGAACACAAATACCTGTACTTTCTACTTCTTACATGTTGAACTCAAATACCTGTACGTTCTACTTCTTACATATTGAACTCAAATACCTGTACTTTCTACTTCTTACATGTTGAACACAAATACCTGTACTTTCTACTTCTTACATGTTGAACACAAATACCTGTACTTTCTACTTCTCTCATGTTGAACTCAAATACCTGTACTTTCTACTTCTTACATGTTGAACACAAATACCTGTACTTTCTACTTCTTACATGTTGAACTCAAATACCTGTACTTTTTACTTCTTACATGTTGAACTCAAATACCTGTACTTTCTTCTTCTTACATGTTGAACTCAAATACCTGTACTTTCTACTTCTTACATATTGAACTCAAATACCTGTACTTTCTACTTCTTACATGTTGAACTCAAATACCTGTACTTTCTACTTCTCTCATTTCCCAAACAGCTGGTTCCTTTAGTCTGAATGTGTGTTTGATGCGTGATCATTATTCTTTAGAGTCATTGCGTGCCTATTGATTTGAACACGATCCGTGTATCCATCATTTCCTGGTCTTCTCTAAAGAAGAGGGACCAATGGAAATGTTGTCATGTTGCCGTTGTTCAGCATGGAAACATTCATTAGCTAACAATGACATTATTGTTCTATTAATATAAAGGGAGGTCAGGTACTCTTTAAAACAGCTGCTAGTTATGTGTACTTTTTACTGAAGTACACTTCAAAGCCTCTTTACTTTGACTTGAGGAAAGAAGTTTAGTCAGTACTTCTACTTTTACCAGAGTATTTTTAAACACGAGTATCTGTACTTCTACTTGAGGAAAGGATGTGTGTACTTTTGCTATCTCTGACTGCACATATATCTTCGGAAAGATGTATCAAAACACCTGTGAGTGGTTACTTCATGTATAGTGAGTCTTTTGGGAAATGTAGTTTTTGTGTTTTATCTCTTCAGACGTCGCGGAACCCAAACCACACCTTCGTCTTTCGGCCATGAGCAAACCCAACACAGAGTCTTCTCCTGCTGTATCATCTTCATCACCTGTTGAAACATCTTCATCACCTGCTTCTTCATCACCTGCTGTATCTTCTTCTTCACCTGCTGTATCCTCTTCATCACCTGCTGTATCCGCTTCACCTGCTGTATCCTCTTCATCACCTGCTGTATCCTCTTCCTCACCTGCTGTATCTGCTTCACCTGCTGTATCCTCTTCATCACCTGCTGTATCCTCTTCATCACCTGCTGTATCCTCTTCAAGTCTCCCAGCTTCTAAGGAGTCTAGTGTAAAGCCGGGGGAATATCCCTTTAAGAGATGTGAGTTCAACTGGTGATCTGTCTCTGGATTAAAGGTCCCGGTCTATGTTTGAGGCTCACGTATTATTATTTAAAAAAAAATGTTTTTAGCCTTTAATTTAACGATAAATAATGAAAAATAATTGTTTTCATTTTTAATACAAATATATTTGTATTTATAATGATTTTTGTATTATTGTTTCACATTAAAAAATACATTTTGATTTAAGGCTATTTCGAATTGTATTTCAATTTATTATTTTATAATACTTATTACAATTTTTGACATATATTATTCTTATTATTTTTTTCAGATAAAATAACTGCTTTTCATTTAAGGTTTTAAGAGTTAAGCTTGTTTCTTTTTCTTGTTTTATTTATACATGTTTTGATAAACTAAGTCAATAACATTTTTAAAAAGGGTTTAAAATATTTACATTTTTAATTATCTGTTTTCCAACATTTACCACTTTTACGCTTGTTTTTTTGTGTCTTTCTAATGAATAATAAATCATTTTCTTCTCTTTAATTTAGTGCCAGTTCTCAAGACGCCCAGTCCCAGTCTGAAGAGGAGTGTGAGCTTCCCTCAGCCTGCAGGTAGAACACACTCACGGCCCGTCCACGCGGCAGCTTCAACGGAGACGCTTCCCCTTCACTTTGAATGGGGTGACGTCACGCTTTGCCGCCGTTGCTCGCTTCGAAAGTTGAGAAAAGTTAAACTTTTCAAGCGTCAACGGAAGCGCCAGCCAATCAATTCATATGCCAGTACAAGCGCTAGCCAATCAAACCGCGTGCTTGGGTGTCCGGGGCGAGAGATTCATGTGATTGATTGTTGGTCGCACGCCAGACACGTCCACCGGCAAGCTTCAACGCGCGCTGCCGTGTGGACGCACCGTAAAGATACACTTTATATTTATTAAAGCAACAACAGCGTTTAAAAGTATGTCCTTTAGCTATTGTTGTTGTTGTTGTTGTTGTTGTTGTTGTTGTTGTTGTTGTTGTTGTTGTTGTAGCTTTGAATGCAGGATATTTTAAATTATTTGGGTTACTTTTACTCTTTGAATTTATCTTCTGCCATCAAATGGAAATTAGCTTTTTTGCTATAATCTGGCATCTCTTCTGTTTTTGAGACATTAATGTATTTGTATGCATGGTCCTGGTTAAGATATGTAATAATAATAATAATAATAATCTCTCTATTCACTCTGATTGTTTTCTGTTTCTGTAGAAAAATTACTTCCCTCCAAATCAATCATCAAACCTGGTTTCTCACCGAGTTTGGACAAGTGAGTTGTGCCAATAAACACGTACTCATGACTAATGTTAGATTAATACTAGCATAACTATAGGGCCTCTTTAAAGCCTGTCTGCAGCCTCAGTTCACGTGTAATTGTATATGTTGTTCCCTGTTTGTCCTCAGGAAGGTGAATAAGGCGCCGGGCGTTGAGTTTAAACAGGATTTAATGAAATCTCAAACGCTGCCTCGCTCTAACAGCGCTCAGGCCAAGCGGGCGCTTTTTGAGAGAATGAACTCCGAGCCAATTAAGTGAGTTCAGCATTTAAAGGTCACCTATTATGCAAAATCCACTTGTGTCCCCTCTTCTTCATGTCTCTTCTACATCAACATGTGTCCCCTCTTCTTCATGTCTCTTCTACATCAACATGTGTCCCCTCTTCTTCATGTCTCTTCTACATCAACATGTGTCCCTCTTCTCCATGTCTCTTCTACATCAACATGTGTCCCCTCTTCTCCATGTCTCTTCTACATCAACATGTGTCCCCTCTTCTTCACGTCTCTTCTACATCAACATGTGTCCCCTCTTCTACATCAACATGTGTCCCCTCTTCTACATCAACATGTGTCCCCTCTTCTTCATGTCTCTTCTACATCAACATGTGTCCCCTCTTCTCCATGTCTCTTCTACATCAACATGTGTCCCCTCTTCTTCATGTCTCTTCTTCATCAACATGTGTCCCCTCTTCTTCATGTCTCTTCTACATCAACATGTGTCCCCTCTTCTCCATGTCTCTTCTACATCAACATGTGTCCCCCTCTTCTTCATGTCTCTTCTACATCAACATGTGTCCCCTCTTCTTCATGTCTCTTCTACATCAACATGTGTCCCCTCTTCTTCATGTCTCTTCTACATCAACATGTGTCCCCTCTTCTTCATGTCTCTTCTTCATCAACATGTGTCCCCTCTTCTTCATGTCTCTTCTACATCAACATGTGTCCCCTCTTCTTCATGTCTCTTCTACATCAACATGTGTCCCCTCTTCTTCATGTCTCTTCTACATCAACATGTGTCCCCTCTTCTTCATGTCTCTTCTCATCAACATGTGTCCCCTCTTCTTCATGTCTCTTCTTCATCAACATGTGTCCCCTCTTCTTCATGTCTCTTCTACATCAACATGTGTCCCCTCTTCTTCATGTCTCTTCCACATCAACATGTGTCCCCTCTTCTTCATGTCTCTTCTACATCAACATGTGTCCCCTCTTCTTCATGTCTCTTCTACATCAGCATGTGTCCCCTCTTCTTCATGTCTCTTCTACATCAACATGTGTCCCCTCTTCTTCATGTCTCTTCTACATCAACATGTGTCCCCTCTTCTTCATGTCTCTTCCACATCAACATGTGTCCCCTCTTCTTCATGTCTCTTCTACATCAACATGTGTCCCCTCTTCTTCATGTCTCTTCTACATCAACATGTGTCCCCTCTTCTTCATGTCTCTTCCACATCAACATGTGTCCCCTCTTCTTCATGTCTCTTCTACATCAACATGTGTCCCCTCTTCTTCATGTCTCTTCTACATCAACATGTGTCCCCTCTTCTTCATGTCTCTTCTACATCAACATGTGTCCCCTCTTCTTCATGTCTCTTCTACATCAACATGTGTCCCCTCTTCTCCATGTCTCTTCTACATCAACATGTGTCCCCTCTTCTTCATGTCTCTTCTACATCAACACGTGTCCCCTCTTCTTCATGTCTCTTCTACATCAACACGTGTCCCCTCTTCTCCATGTCTCTTCTACATCAACATGTGTCCCCTCTTCTTCATGTCTCTTCTACATCATCATGTGTCCCCTCTTCTTCATGTCTCTTCTACATCAACATGTGTCCCCTCTTCTTCATGTCTCTTCTACATCAACATGTGTCCCCTCTTCTTCATGTCTCTTCTACATCAACATGTGTCCCCTCTTCTTCATGTCTCTTCTTCATCAACATGTGTCCCTCTTCTTCATTTCTCTTCTACATCAACATGTGTCCCCTCTTCTTCATGTCTCTTCTACATCAACATGTGTCCCCTCTTCTTCATGTCTCTTCTACATCAACATGTGTCCCCTCTGTGGAAAGAGACTCTGAAAGTTTCAGGAACAAAGATTCTCTCTCTTTTTGATCCATTTCTATAAAAACCTGTCTGAAAATGAGCTGATCAGATTTTGGCCACTTGATGATGTCATAACGATGTTTTGTCTTGTATAACCATTAGCCAATCAGCAACCAAGGTAACCCCCCCCCCCCTTATCACCTGAATCTCCTCCTAGAGCTCCATTGAGTTCTTTGTAACCAGATCTCTCTCAGAGGGGCGTGGGGAGGGGCTCCTTATTTTCATCTAAAGTAACAGACAGAGAATCAGCACTTTGGAAACAGGGCTGAAACAGAGGGGATTATGGGTAATGCTGCAATGATCTGTTTGGTGTTTCAGCCAATCAGAGACAGGCTCTGTATATATCTGAGACCTGTGATATATTGATGAAAAACAGTATGATAGGGGACCTTTAAAATATTATTTCCATTTTATCCAATATCACTGACATGTTTTCCTTCATTGATTTTTCCTTTCTGTTGAACAGACCGAAGGATTCGAAGCCGAAGCTGAAGCGCTCTCAGAGTTTCGGACCTTCGAGCGCCAGCGGGATAAAACAGATGCTGCTTGAGTGGTGCCGCTCCAAAACCATCGGATATCAGGTAACACTCCACATATTCAAATAGTATTTTCTCAATAACAGCTTCGTGCTAACCAACGTCTTGACTCACAATATTGATTTAAAAATGGTCGAGTTGCCTTCCTTAAGAAAAAATGGTCCGTTCTACTGCGTACTACCGTTCTTCTTCTGCTGTTCCCTTTAGTGTTTACTTCGTGTCTGTCTTCTTCTGCTGTTCCCTTTAGTGTTTACTTCCTGTCTGTCTTCTTCTGCTGTTCCCTTTAGTGTTTACTTCCTGTCTGTCTTCTTCTGCTGTCCCTTTAGTGTTTTACTTCCTGTCTGTCTTCTTCTGCTGTTCCCTTTAGTGTTTACTTCCTGTCTGTCTTCTGCTGTTCCATTTAGTGTTTACTTCCTGTCTCTCTTCTGCTGTTCCCTTTAGTGTTTACTTCCTGTCTGTCTTCTTCTGCTGTTCCCTTTAGTGTTTACTTCCTGTCTGTCTTCTTCTGCTGTTCCCTTTAGTGTTTACTTCCTGTCTGTCTTCTGCTGTTCCCCTTTAGTGTTTACTTCCTGTCTCTCTTCTTCTGCTGTTCCCTTTAGTGTTTACTTCCTGTCTGTCTTCTGCTGTTCCCTTTAGTGTTTACTTCCTGTCTGTCTTCTGCTGTTCCCTTTAGTGTTTACTTCCTGTCTGTCTTCTTCTGCTGTTCCCTTAGTGTTTACTTCCTGTCTGTCTTCTTCTGCTGTTCCCTTTAGTGTTTACTTCCTGTCTGTCTTCTTCTGCTGTTCCCTTTAGTGTTTACTTCCTGTCTGTCTTCTGCTGTTCCATTTAGTGTTTACTTCCTGTCTCTCTTCTGCTGTTCCCTTTAGTGTTTACTTCCTGTCTGTCTTCTTCTGCTGTTCCCTTTAGTGTTTACTTCCTGTCTGTCTTCTGCTGTTCCCTTTAGTGTTTACTTCCTGTCTCTCTTCTTCTGCTGTTCCCTTTAGTGTTTACTTCCTGTCTGTCTTCTGCTGTTCCCTTTAGTGTTTACTTCCTGTCTGTCTTCTTCTGCTGTTCCCTTTAGTGTTTACTTCCTGTCTTCTTCTGCCGTTCCCTTTAGTGTTTATTTGCTGTATGTCTTCTTCTGCTGTTCCCTTTAGTCTTTACTTCCTGTCTGTCTTCTTCTGCTGTTCCCTTTAGTGTTTACTTCCTGTCTGTCTTCTGCTGTTCCCGTTAGTGTTTACTTCCTGTCTGTCTTCTTCTGCTGTTACCTTTAGTGTTTACTTCCTGTCTGTCTTCTTCTGCTGTTCCCTTTAGTGTTTACTTCCTGTCTGTCTTCTTCTGCTGTTTCTTTTAGTGTTTACTTCCTGTCTGTCTTCTTCTGCTGATTTCTCTGACATCCAGCTCTCTGTCTTTTAACCTCTTTCCTTCTCTTATTCACTTTTTTCTTTAGTGGGGACAGTTGAGCCTAGTTTAGACATAGTCCCTTGATCCTCCTTAGCAACAGTCTGCTCCCCTTTGCAACGGCCTGCTCTCCTTAGCAACGGTCTGCTCCCCTTAGCAACTGTCTGCTTTCCTTAGCAACGCTCTACTCTCCTTAGCAACGGTCTGCTCTCTTTAGCAACGGCCTGCTTTCCTTAGCAACGCTCTACTCTCCTTAGCAACGGCCTGCTGTCCTTAGCAACAGTCTGCTCCCCTTAGTAACGGTCTGCTCTCTTTAGCAACACTCTGCTAGCGAAAATTGCAGACCTCTGAAATGTCAGAATAGACCAATCAGAATTGTGTATTCAACTGTCTTTAAAGGAAACTGAATAAACCGTATATCAGATTAAATATGATTCTGTTTTTATGTTGTTTTTTCTCTCAGAACATCGATATGCAGAACTTCTCGTCCAGCTGGAGCGATGGGATGGCGTTCTGCGCTCTCGTTCACTCCTTCTTCCCGCTGGACTTTGATTACAACACGCTGGAACCAAAGAACCGCAAACAGAACCTGGAGCAGGCGTTCACCACCGCAGAGTGAGTACTCTGGAGTATCTGTTCTATGAGTAGAAGTATTAGGAGCTCAAGGTAAAGGTAGTACAATTCTTCTTTTAAAGGAACCACTGTTTGGTTTCTTCTCAGCGAGTATTTTTGATATTCAAATCAGAAAGGTGTTAAAAAATAACGCAAGGCTAAAATGTATTTGCTTTATTTCATGGTCGACAGTATATATGTGCAGACGATTTAAAAAAAGCAATACAAATAATACTTTTTCTTTTTAATATGTTTTTTTTTTCAAATTATGAATCCTTGTTGAACATTTGAAAATAAAAATGTACGTTATTTTTTAATTATATATTTTTTCCCATTTAATTGATTTGTTTTCAATTACATACTTTTCAAAAATAAGTTATTTATCTAACAATATGAAAAAAGTACTTTTTCTAAACAATAGGGTACTTTTTTACAAATCTAAGGAATCTTTGAAATAATTATTTCCTTAAAATGTGTAGATTTTTTAGGAAATTAACAGAACATTTCAAAATTAAGATTTTTTATTTTACATATAGGTAACTTGAATAGATAGAGTACATCACTAACTCATATTTTAGGATACATATTATTTACATATCAATTGTAACTTACTGAGAGCAATTGGTTGCAATTCTGTTGTCTTTCAGCAGGAACCAGTGAAACCTTTTGGAGTATTTACACTTTATTTATTGTGCGTTTCAGGAAGCAGGCGGACTGTCTGCGTCTGATCGAGGTCGACGACATGCTGGTGATGGGCGACAGGCCGGACGCGATGTGTGTGTTCACCTACGTCCAGTCTCTGTACAACCACCTGAAGACGTTCGAGTAACTCTGTATCAGAGGAGATTATACATTAAAGGTCACCTATTATGCGAAATCCACTTTTTCCACGTCTCTTCTACATCAACATGTGTCCCCTCTTCTTCATGTCTCTTCTACATCAACATGTGTCCCCTCTTCTCCATGTCTCTTCTACATCAACATGTGTCCCCTCTTCTTCATGTCTCTTCTACATCAACATGTGTCCCCTCTTCTTCATGTCTCTTCTACATCAACATGTGTCCCCTCTTCTTCATGTCTCTTCTACATCAACATGTGTCCCCTCTTCTTCATGTCTCTTCTACATCAACATGTGTTCCCTCTTCTTCATGTCTCTTCTACATCAACATGTGTCCCCTCTTCTTCATGTCTCTTCTACATCAACATGTGTCCCCTCTTCTTCATGTCTCTTCTACATCAACATGTGTCCCCTCTTCTTCATGTCTCTTCTACATCAACATGTGTCCCCTCTTCTCCATGTCTCTTCTACATCAACATGTGTTCCCTCTTCTTCATGTCTCTTCTACATCAACATGTGTCCCCTCTTCTTCATGTCTCTTCTACATCAACATGTGTCCCCCTCTTCTCCATGTCTCTTCTACATCAACATGTGTCCCCTCTTCTTCATGTCTCTTCTACATCAACATGTGTCCCCTCTTCTTCATGTCTCTTCTACATCAACATGTGTCCCCTCTTCTTCATGTCTCTTCTTCATCAACATGTGTCCCCTCTTCTTCATGTCTCTTCTACATCAACATGTGTCCCCTCTTCTTCATGTCTCTTCTACATCAACATGTGTCCCCTCTGTGGAAAGAGACTCTGAAAGTTTCAGGAACAAAGATTCTCTCTCTTTTTGATCCATTTCTATAAAAACCTGTCTGAAAATGAGCTGATCAGATTTTGGCCACTTGATGATGTCATAACGATGTGTTGTCTTGTGTAACCATCAGCCAATCAGCAACCAAGGTAACCCCCCCCCCTTATCACCTGCATCTCCTCCTAGAGCACCATTGAGTTCTTTGTAACCAAATGTCTCTCTGATACCTCATTCACACCAACCCAACTCCGGTTCAAGCTCCGTGCTAGAGCTTTTCAGGTTCAGAACCGGTTCTTCGGTTTAGCTCCGGCTCTTTTCACACCGCCCAGAGTCCGACTGGTGCTGCGTCATTACGTCATCGTTTGCGTGCCTGCTTCATAAACCGCGCGGAAACCCCTCACAGCTCACACCGACAACAACAACAATGGCCGATTGTGCTCCAGCTTCCTCTGTACCTCTTCGGAAGACCAGATTCCCAGCAGGTAGCTGGTCTCTTCAGTGGACCACTGCTGCTTGTTACGTTTCTCCATCGTTGTGTACAAAGTGGATAAAACGCCGGCTTCTTGTTGTTGTTCAGGAGTTGATCCCGCCCCTGCCCCTGCCCCCGCCTCGAAGTAAGCGTGACGTATGCAGTGCTTTTGCTCTGGCCGGACAATTTTTTGGTGCTTGAAATGAACCGGATTCCGGAGCTAAGAGATGGCTCCGCTGCGGTGTGAACAGGAAAACCTGGTGCTTTTCAAGCTCCATCTCCGAACCGGCCCTGAAATACCGTTGGTGTGAATGAGGTAAAAGGGGCGTGGGGAGGGGCTCCTTATTTTCATCTAAAGTAACAGACAGAGAATCAGCACTTTGGAAACAGGGCTGAAACAGAGGGGATTATGGGTAATGCTGCAATGATCTGTTTGGTGTTTCAGCCAATCAGAGACATGTTCTGTATATATCTGAGACCTGTGATATATTGATGAGAAACAGTATAATAGGGGACCTTTAATAACCACCGTGTGTCATGTAACCTTTGAATAAGCTCAACAGGAAACCACTGCTGTTTGAACCACATGAGAATTTAGTGTTTGATAAAGCAGTTTTTCCTTTAGTATTTACACTGATTCAGTTTCTCATCACGTGTATCGTCACGCTAATATTGCTGTATTTTTTTGTAGTTCTCAAATGCTGTAACCAAAGAAAGGTAAGATTAAAGATTGTAATAGCTGCTGTCTGTTGATCAATCAGTGTTAAGAAAAGACTTATGAGTATAGGGATACTAAGGTGTAAGTGTATGGCATGACACCCGGAGGTTAAAGGTATCTTTATTTTTAAATGTACTTTAAAATGTCAAAGAGACATATGGTAAGTGTACGTCTGTAAATGACAGAAGCGAGAGACGATAGTGAGGAATAACAGAAACAGAATTGGCAGGTGTTGTGTATTGTGGTATATGTGAGTAATGCTGGGAAACGTTGATGTGTTTATGCAACAATGTGATTCTAACGATCTGCTTTTAAATATCAAGACAAAGACGTTGGTGCTGCTTTTTCATTATAAGTATGCAGGGCTGTTGGAGAACCATTCATACAAATCTTGATGGATTTTGTACATAGCATTGTGGTCGTGTTGGCAAATAAAACCTTTTGAAAGTTGTATGTTTGAACTGAGAAAGATTTGTTAAATAAATAATAGTTTATATTAGACTGTTTGTTGCCATCTAGTGGTTGAACACATGTAATGGGCCAATAGCTGCTCATGTTCAGGTCATATTTGTATGTTGTGCCGTTACTCTGACATGTTTACAGGTTTTAATGTTAAGAGAAACTCTCTGGAGGGATTTTAGCCTTTGCAGACCATTTACATGCACTAAAACCTATATAACACGCTAGAGGAAAAGCAAAACCCAAAATGCAGAGTATGGCCTCTTTAACAATATGTTACCTCCATCCTGCCATAATGTTTTAACCTTCCTTACAAGTCATTTTTAAGAATACATTTTTTTTCGCATTTTTGGGATCTGTGTTTGACGATGCAATTTTTATTTTACTGTTAAGACAATAATTTAGCTTGTACTCGCAAAATGCAATGTCTGTGAATGTTTAAGCTTAAGAGAATATTATTAACCAGGTGGTAAATTAAAGTGGTAACTTCAAAATACCACATTGTTTTGAGTCATTCCTTAGGATTTAAATGTTATAAGCAGGACAAATAAGGCTCGAAAAGCACATAATAAACAATAACTGCAGTATAAATGGCTTAGAGCAGCGGTTCCTAACCTTTTTCAACTCAGGGCCCACTTAAGAATCAAACATTTTTTTGCGGCCCACATTCAACCATAAACAATACGGAGGCTAAATAAAGTTCTGATTGGTCGATTCAGAACCTGTGACACGTTGTAAATCCAGTAGAACAGGTAATTACGGTCAAGGACTGTATTGACCGTTGCTAAGGACTGTAATGACATTACAATACATTACATTACATTACATTGCATTTAGCTGACGCTTTTGTCCAAAGCGACTTACAATAAGTACATTCGACCAGGAAGACACAACCTTGAAGAAAACAGAATCATAAAGTACATCAGGTTTCATAGAGCCAAACATTTCAAGTGCTACTCAACTGGCTTTAGGTAAGCTAGTCCTTTATTAGTATAAAAGTGCTTCGTTAATAGTTCTAACGCTCGAAGTGGAGTCGAAAGAGATGAGTTTTCAGTTTGCGCCGGAAGATGTGCAAGCTATCTGCCGTCCTGATGTCAATGGGGAGCTCATTCCACCATCTTGGAGCCAGGACAGCAAACCCACGTGTTTTCGCCGATGGGAACTTGGGTCCCCCTCGCAGCGAGGGTGCAGCGAGTCGTTTGGCTGATGCAGAGCGTAGTGCACACGCTGGGGTGTACGGTTTAACCATGTCCTGGATGTAGGAAGGGCCAGATCCATTCGCAGCATGGTACGCAAGTACCAGTGTCTTGAAGTGGATTCTAGCAGTTACCGGAAGCCAGTGAAGGGAGCGGAGGAGCGGAGTGGTGTGGGAGAATTTAGGAAGGTTGAAGACCAGACGAGCCGCTGCATTCTGGATGAGCTGCAGAGGTCGGATGGCACATGCAGGTAGACCAGCCAGGAGGGAGTTGCAGTAGTCTAGGCGTGAGGTGATGAGAGCCTGGACCAGAACCTGAGTCGCTTTCTGAGTCAGCTGGGGACGTATCTTCCTGATGTTGTAAAGCGTGTATCTGCAGCAACGGGTTGTAGCAGCGATGTTTGCAGTGAAGGACAGGTTGTTATCTAGGGTCACACCCAGATTCCTTGCAGTCTGAGTCGGGGAAACAACAGAGGTGCCGATGTTGATTGTTAGGTCAAGAGTGGGACAATCTTTTCCCGGGAGGAAGAGCAGCTCAGTCTTGTCAAGGTTGAGCTTGAGGTGGTGAGCAGACATCCACTGAGAGATGTCAGCTAGACAAGCAGAGATGCGTGCGACGACCTGGGTCTCTGAGCGGGGAAAGGACAGAATTAATTGGGTGTCATCAGCGTAGCAGTGGTAAGAAAAACCATGCGGGCTAATGACTGATCCGAGCGAGTTTGTGTACAGGGAGAAGAGGAGGGGACCAAGAACAGAGCCCTGAGGGACCCCCGTAGTTAATTGACAAGGGTCGGACTCAGACCCTCTCCAAGTCACCCTGTAGGTACGGTCTTTCAGGTATGAGGTGAGGAGGGAAAGTGCAGAGCCTGAAACTCCAAGTTTTTGGAGAGTGCGAAGGAGGATCTGATGATTCACCGTGTCGAATGCAGCAGACAGGTCCAACAGGATGATGACAGAGGAGAGGGATGCAGTTTTGGCAGTGTGCAGTTCCTCCGTGACAGCAATGAGAGCAGTTTCTGTGGAGTGACCTGCCTTGAAACCAGACTGGTGCGGATCCAGAAGGTTGTTCTGATTGAGATAACAGGAGAGTTGTTTAAAGACAGCGCGTTCAAGTGATTTAGACAGGAACGGGAGGAGAGAGACAGGCCTGTAGTTTATAACATCAGACGGGTTGAGAGTGGGTTTCTTTAGGAGAGGGTTTACTCTTGCCTCCTTGAGACTGTTTGGAAAGTGACCAGAAGTTAGAGAAGTGTTGATGAAATGGGTGAGAAACGGTAGAATATCAGGAGCGATAGTCTGAAGGAGGTTTGAAGGGATAGGGTCCAGAGGACAGGTGGTAGGGCGGGCAGAGGTAATGAGGGTAAGAACCTCACTTGGAGAGAGAGGGGAAAAGGAGGTAAGTGTGTTGGTGGAAGGAGGGTCTGGTGACCCAGCGGTGAGTAAAGGTTAATGACCGTTGCTAAGGAGGATCAAGAAAGAAAAAGGAAAAGAGTTTCAAAAAAATAAATAATCTTAATAGTGAAAATGTTTCCACACAAATCATAATGTTTTGAAAATTATTTGGCGGCAAATATTGAATTTACATTTACACCTTTTAATATTTTATTTGGGCTTTTAGAAGACCGCACAAAGTTAATAAATACAACTCTTCTTCTGGCTAAAATACATATGTTTAAACTCAATCAAGGAGTAATCTTAATTTAAGATGTTTGAAGAGTAGATTCAAAATATAATTTATTTTGGAAACAATTATTGCCACAAAAAATCTGAGGCTCATCACACCATGAAATGGGAAATAATGAGCTCTAACGAAGAGTGGGATTAAAGGAGCAATACATATGCCATGTTGTGTTTTTGGTGGTTTTTGGTTGTCAACCTATTTTTGTTTGTGAAATGTTGAAGTGATGCTCCTGACTGTATCTTTATTTCTCCTGATTTTGTTTCGTTGTTGTCTGAGATGGGAATGTCATCTCCTATTGTTATTGTTATGTCCATGTTTGTGTCTTTAGCCTGTACCAAACACTTGCAATGCCTTCGCGGACCACTTGCAATGCCTTCGCGGACCACTAGTGGGTTGGGAACCGCTGGTTTAGAGTATTGAACAGTCCTTACAGTTATTGTTTATTTAGTAGGATGTTCACGCCATATTTGTCCTGCTAATAACATTTAAATCCTAAGAAATGACTCAAAACAATGTGTTATTTAAAAGAAAAGGAACAACTTAAAAAACTGTAGTTTTAAATTGATTTAGTTTTTAAATAAAGTAGTAGAATATTTATCAAATTAACATTTGGTTTTAGTTTCCCTCTTATTTTTAATAGTGGTGCGATATTGTTGTAACTCTTAAGTTAAAAAAATGCTTAATTTGTTTAAGAGTAGGAATGTATTAAGTCAGATCGTTCATTCGTATCTACGGAGTTTTCCAAGATGCATTCACAGCTTCAGAGTTTAATATTAACCCGAAGCAAATTAAAGTTGTAATTTTGATAAAGCGCACTGTTTTGAGTAATTCCTTATGATTTTATTTAATGTGTTTATGTTGTAAGTAGTACGAATACGTGTTGAAAGGCATACTGAATAAATAATGAGTGTCAGCACTCACCACTGTAAAGGGGCTGTAATGTAAAAGTAGTGGAAGAATCGTTAAGTCCTATTTACGGAGTTTTTTGAGGGAGCATGAACGCACCGCTTCCCATTGACCATGCATCCCTTCCGGTAGATGAGGTCAACTTTTCCCCAGATCCGCCATTTCAGTCCCGGAGTTTGTAGTTGCACTTTAGTTTTGACTTTATTTCTGACTCTTTTTAACGTGTTTGTGGATACAGCAGAAGTCCCACCAACTAACAGCGACATCATACATTACTCCTGGAAGTTTTGGTGTTGTGTATATTCTTGTTTTTCCAGGAGGAAGCTGGTTAATCCACGAAAGTTTTTGCATGAGTTTCGGATTTATAGGCTGAGCAGGACCCGGGTTCGAATCCTGCTCGCGGACGAATTTTACTGCATGTCATCCATTCTGTGAATAAAAAGCACTGGTTGCAAAAAGAAGGAATAAGGAATAAAAGGCCTTAAAAGCCTCGGTGGGGATTTTCACAGTCATGGCGGGTAACTTTGACGCTGAGGACCGTGGGAGCTGGTTTTGGGGCAGATTGAGCAGGCAGGAAGCCGTTTCTCTGCTCCAGGGAGGCCGGCATGGCGTGTTTTTAGTCCGGGAATCCATCACCAGTCCGGGGGATTACGTGCTGTCCGTGTCTGAAAACTCAAAAGTGTCCCATTATATCATCAACAGTATCAGCAACAACCGGCAGTCTGGATCAGGTAACTGTTCAGTTTATTTATAGCAAGGGATTTCACTAAAACACACCTGATTTCCGTTTTTAACAGTGGAATGCTTTGATTTATCTTACAACCGCCAAACTGCCTTTATGAAATGCCTAATTTAACGTGTTCTTGGGAAATCTGAAGACAATCGTACTCTTTTTAAGGGGGAATTAAGATATATATGTGTTTTTGGATTGTATTCTTAACATCGGGTTGTAATTATAAAGCAAACTATTTCAGTAAAGACTCCTAATAGTGTTTTTCCATTTTTAACAGCTTTGATTTAGCTGCGTTATCTTCCAACCGCCAAACCCCCTTTATGAATGACCTGATTTAACGTGTTTTGGGGAAATCTGAAATAAATCGTACTCTTTTTCCAATTTATTTTTAAATATGTATGTTGTAGGAATGTATTCTCAACATCGGCTTATATATCATGTAATAATACTCACTATTTTGGACAAACATGACAACTTTAACATGTGGTTGTTCCCGCCCACCGTGGTGTTTTCTGACCGGTAACTGGCAAGCTACTGTTAGAAAAGAAGAGTATAGTGCTATTACTCTTTACTGAAACTAAATGTTGGTATTTTTATGAAGCCGATTAAAGTAACCGTTTAAAAGGAAGCCAGGAGTAACACTATGAACTAAATATGTATGGTAACTTTTCCGTTATAGCGCCGTTAAGTTACATGGGTTACTTTTTAAATGGAGTCTGGTGTAGTTTTTCCATGGGAGTGCGCCGGACGTTGATGTAAATTGTAGTGTAGTGGCCAAACTGTGGTACTACAACTTCCGTGTCAGTCCGTGACGTCACATTGACTGACACTAATGAATTGCTATTTTTTTACACAACACCCATATTACTCCGCTGTAACAGTTATCACAGCCATATTACTCCATTGTTACACCATTATTAAACGCATATTACACCCTTATTATACCCATGTTACACTGTTATTAGACCATTAAACCATTTTACACATGGACACAGCCTGTCAAATACATTTATCCCCCAGGTGTAGAACACATTTAAAGGTACGTTTTCTAATTAACTTGCTAGCTATCAAGAACCAATTCAAATTCCACTTTATCAACTATACTTTCTCCTGATGTAGTTTTGAGGCGGTGTTTTGTCCTCATGCAGGCAGTAGATTCAAGGCTTTTGTACATAGCTACAGTGTAGATATGTCAATGAAAATGTTAGGTCACTGGCTCCTCCAACAATGCAACACAATAAAACAGATAACAGTGAATACAAAGAAGTAGGAAGGTACATGCTTTAGGGATTGAATGGGACTGGGCAGGCTGAGCTGTCACGACTGGGAAGATTGGTGTTTCAGGAATGTTTTTGATCCTGAGGTCTGCTGCTTTTACCTCTGGGGCTCAAACTCGTATGGGTTATGTTTACCTTTGTATGAGTACATCATCCATTGTGAGCCATGACAGGGAGGAACATTACCCAGTTGTGTTAGCTGTTGTTTAAACTAGAAGAGAATATAGTTGCAACATGTGAAACTAGAAGAGAGTACAAACCTCCACCAATGCTGTGTGTCCACTCTGTGACTCCTCTCGTCTGATACAACATGTAATGGTTTCTTAATTGAAACACCCTTCCAACAAGGAAATCATGGCCAGTATTTCTTCTGTAATCCTGCTGAAAAACAAACGGACAAACTAACCGGCACTCGAATCAAATGTGGATTTACTGCTTGAACATGTTGGCTAAAACGATCTAGTGTTTGAAATTCGCTTGAAGGTGTTGTGGCCTAATGTCACTCCATTGATTGTTATTATTGATTGGATTGGGTCATCCTGTGGTATATCTATTTCTGTCATCCTGTAGAGACTTTGTTATGTGGTCTTTGCCAAGTTCACTACCCTTTCTACTAAGTTAGGCTTTTATTATCCTGATTATTTCAAGAGGAAAGACACTGCCGGTTCCCTCGTTGTTTTCAACATGTTTTTGCCTTTCTTAATGTCCATCTTGGAAGCCATTATTAGCATTTAATGTTGTAGCGCAGGAATGAGTTCTAAACCTGGGAATGAGTCAGCATTTTAGCCCTGCTGGTTCCCTTGTCTACAAGTCAGCGTTTTTGTTGTGTCCTTCTTACTGTCCAGTAGGGCTGTATCCGAATATTCGTTCGTTGGAGTACTATTCGGGTTTCAATTTCGTTATTCGGATATTCGTTTAGTTTGTTTTTTCTCTCAAATTGAATTCATTGAAATCTCCAATATCAACGTAAGAGCCTGTGCCTCTTCGGGGGTGCTAACACTAAACATTATCGTTTGCTTTCTCCGTCTTTATATGTAGATATTACTTTTCTCCGTTAATCTCCGTCAGGTTGTTTCCATAGCAACAACAACTTCTGTCAACAGCGCTACCTCTCCTTCAAAATAAAAGCATGTCCATAAATAGGAAGCCAAGCCAAATGACACTTAAGACATATACAACTGCAATGAAAGTAACAAACACAATGCGATATCCTTTTCAATTTCAAAGAACACAAATTGGGTTACATCAACAAATAACTATAAAACAACAATACTGTAGAAAAACAAAATGAATGCCGTGAATACCCCGAAATACACGTGTTGAAGCGGGTTCGCTGCTGATTACTACGCCCCGCGCGCAGGCCGAATATTCGCTGCTGATTACTACCGAATATCCGGAGCCCGAAAAATCCAGCATTATTTAGCATTTACTGTTATAACTAGGTGCAGGATTAAGTCCTAATCCCATGTAAATGTCCTCGCTGCGGGATTAATAAAGAAATTCTGATTCTGATTTCTTCAGATTATGTGAAAAGAAAAAACAGAAAATGTGATGGTTTTTTTAAGGTAGACTTCGGTTTACACATCTGCACTACCTCCTGGTTTAATGCTACAACAATCTCAACTGCACATCTCAAAACTTAGCTAATGTGCAAATGACAAAGCCTTGAATCTTGAATCTAACAAGCCTTTTAAATATGTATACTCTAGCTGCTGGTTTGCCATTAACCCTCTGAGGTCGAGTATGTCATATCTACACTGTAGCTGCTGAGCAAATGACAATAAAGCCTTTTAAACTTAAAACGAATCCCCCTCTCTTCCACCAGGTTTGGCTCCTCCTCGGTTTCGGATCGGCGACCAGGAGTTCGAGGCTCTTCCCGCCCTGCTGGAGTTTTACAAAATCCACTATCTGGACACCACCACGCTCATAGAGCCCATAAACAAATCCAAACACACGGGGTTCGTCAGCGCGTCGGCCGGCCCTCCCGTTCAGTCCGACGAGGCCGAGTTCGTCCGGGCGCTTTTCGATTTCCCCGGAAACGATGACGAGGATCTTCCTTTCAAAAAAGGCGACATCTTGAGAGTTCTGGAAAAACCTGAAGAGCAATGGTGGAACGCAGCGAACCAGGTATATTTTCTACTTTCTCTACATCAGGGGGGTCCAAACCTTTTCACCCAGGGCCAGATACAGAAAAATGTACGAGGGCTGGGCCGCTCACTCGAGGTATATCGCCTCATCAGTTCAGTTATAAGTTAGCGACATCAATCAAATGTAGGTACATGATGCTTGTGAGTGTTGGCAGCTCATCCCTTAAAACGGACACCTCAGATTTATTATAATAAGGAGAAATAGGAAGGGTTTATTTCAAGCTTGTTATGGAAATAAGTTACTTGGCTTTTTGCTTATCAACTAAGATTTGTTGGAGAATGTTTCCAACTGAATTTATTTGAAAAGTGGTCTCATTAACACATGAATACTACTGTGTAATGTATTCTTACATTTATATTTAAGAAGTACAATATAAGACAATCACAACTTTCATTTGGGGGCCATATTCCATTATACCTTTTTAATTAGCTGAGGGCCGATTCAAAATGGGCCGTAGTTTGTATGTTTTCTACTTTCCCTTTTCTTTATTTTTTGCCCCGTTCGTTTGTTCACCACGTAAAGCGGCCTTGGGTCCCTTGAAAGGCGCTGTACAAATGTAATCTATTATTATTACTTTTTTTTCAATATATTTTTTATTGACATTTGGCAGCAAACAAATACAGTGTTTTTTCAAGACATAGTGTACATCTTAAGTTTGTCTCCGAAATGCCTAAAAAGTACGAAAAATGCGAACATTAGGGAGCGATCGGGACCTACGTTTGTAAAAATGTAATCTGGCCTATGAGGTTTTACGACATCAGTCCACTTTCTCCATCCAATAGTTCCAGTTTGTGACTGCCACGTCTTTTTATGCTGCTGCAACACAAACATTTCCCAAATTGGGATCAATAAAGTACTTCTTATCGTATTGTTTCGTAGGAAGGTCGTGCCGGGATGATTCCAGTCCCGTACGTTGAAAAGTACCGACCCGCCTCACCCACTGGTACCAGTCCAGTTACTGGTGCTGCTGGAGGGGTTTCAGGCCCCACAGATCCATCGGGGGCCCCTTCAGGAAACCCTCTGGGGGAACCGGGGCCATACGCTCAGCCCGTGGTGAACGCTCAGCTGCCCAATCTACAGAACGGACCCGTTTTCGCCAGAGCGATCCAGAAGAGAGTTCCCAACGCCTACGACAAGACGGCGCTCTCTTTGGAGGTAGTGTTTTTTTCTTTTTTAGTGTCTCATAGACATTTTTTTTTTACTTGTTTCTGTTTATGTCTGTCTTACTGCCCAGCTTGGATGACATATTTAGTAGGTACTGTATGGTGTAGTGCAGGAATGAGTCCTAAACTCCGTAATGAGTCAGCATCGACGGTTGCTTACAAGTGTCTAAATGAGACGACTAAACGTCATCACGTCGAATATTAGCCTCCTTTAGCTTAGCGGTGGTGACGTGAAGTCATGTGACTGTGCTGTAGTTCCTTTATAGCCCATCATTAGCCACCTTTAGCTTAGCGGTGGTGACCTGAAGTCATGTGACTGTGCTGTAGTTCCTTTATAGCCCATCATTAGCCACCTTTAGCTTAGCGGTGGTGACGTGAAGTCATGTGACCGTGCTGTAGTTCCTTTATAGCCCAACATTAGCCTCCTTTAGCTTAGCGGTGGAGACGTGAAGTCATGTGACCGTGCTGTAGTTCCTTTATAGCCCAACATTAGCCGCCTTTAGCTTAGCGGTGGTGACGTGAAGTCATGTGACCGTGCTGTAGTTCCTTTATAGCCCAACATTAGCCGCCTTTAGCTTAGCGGTGGAGACGTGAAGTCATGTGACCGTGCTGTAGTTCCTTTATAGCCCAACATTAGCCGCCTTTAGCTTAGCGGTGGTGACGTGAAGTCATGTGACCGTGCTGTAGTTCCTTTATAGCCCAACATTAGCCGCCTTTAGCTTAGCGGTGGTGACCTGAAGTCATGTGACCGTGCTGTAGTTCCTTTATAGCCCAACATTAGCCTCCTTTAGCTTAGCGGTGGTGACGTGAAGTCATGTGACCGTGCTGTAGTTCCTTTGTAGCCCAACATTAGCCTCCTTTAGCTTAGCGGTGGTGACCTGAAGTCATGTGACCGTGCTGTAGTTCCTTTATAGCCCAACATTAGCCTCCTTTAGCTTAGCGGTGGTGACCTGAAGTCATGTGACCGTGCTGTAGTTCCTTTGTAGCCCAACATTAGCCTCCTTTAGCTTAGCGGTGGTGACCTGAAGTCATGTGACCGTGCTGTAGTTCCTTTATAGCCCAACATTAGCCACCTTTAGCTTAGCGGTGGTGAACTCCCATTGGCTGTTGGTGGTGGGAACCATGAAGATGCTAAAATATAGCTTCCCTGCACCACTCTCTCCTCTGTTTTTTGTTTGTGGTTCTCAGTGTAGATTGTCCCGGTTGTTAATGGCTTACTCATGCATGTGAGAACACACACACACACACACACACACACACACACACACACACACACACACACAGTCTTTAGAAAGCTGTACACATGAACACACTCTCAGTGGAGATGGCACTATAGAGATCCTCTTTGTGAACACACTCTGTTTACGGCCCAGTGGATATATGAGAGTGTATCATTGTACATTCATTAGCAGTGGAGCGCCAAGTCCAACGCTTTCTCATGGAACAGAAACATAAACAGTGCTTGTTTATTTAGTTGGTAAACTGCAACAATAGTGGTGGTTAATGTTGTTGGTCTAACAGTGATATAAAGACAGTGTGTCCACATCACACACACTCATTGAACAATGTCAACTATATGGTGGGTTATGGGCTTAACGTGCCAAAAACACACAACTCAAAAACTACATTTATTACTGCTGCCGGTAAAGATGGAACCCTTGATGCAGTTAGCTGTCATCCTATTTAGGTAGTTATAGTCTGTATGGATGCACAATTAACTAAATGTAATCCAAAATATGTGTTAATATTATTTTGAATAATGTATTGTTGAGCTGCAGAGATATCCGGTTCTACAAATAGTATTCTACAGACTTATCAACAAATATATGTGTGGTATAGATCCTTTTGATCTGTGTGTTCATCAGCTGCGTGATGTCTGATGACCTTTCTGTCATTGACACTGCACGATCAACCAGTCCACAATGTTCCTGCCTGTCAATCAAAAGTGTGTGCGTGGCAGTGGGGTCAATCCATTTAACGTCAATATAGTTCTTACTGTGGGCGATAGGTTCCTCTTGCATGAACTGAGAGGAAGAATCACATACAAAGCAATTCATATTCTGGTCTTGTACATATTCTATTTACATGTATGTAGACTTCTTGCACTACTTTTTATTGTATTGTATGTGTTGCATTGTTGGAGGAGCTCAGGTCAGAAGAATTTCATTGCCATTTCTACACTGTAGCTTTGTGCATATGATGATAACACCTTTGAATCTTGGGATTATTGTACAACCCTCATCGTACCCCTGGACTTATCTCTCCACAGGTGGGAGACATGGTGAAAGTGACCAAGATCAACGTGAACGGTCAGTGGGAGGGAGAGTGTAAAGGCAAGCGAGGCCATTTCCCTTTCACACACGTCCGACTGCTGGAACTAAACAACCCAGAGGACGAGAGCTGAGAAACACACACACACATTAACACACACACACACCATCCTCTGGTTCTTATGTCACGCTCGGGAAACATCGACGTGACGGGATGTCGTCGTTTTGAAGAGTTTACACTAAGGTGAGACTGATATCGGTTAGCATATGTTAGCTTAGCATTGCACACTGCCCTCCGTTACCTGCCTCCTTGAATATTTCCTACGAAATATGAAATTAAATCAAATAATGAAGCATTTATTGGTTTAGTATTTATTTCTAATGTTGCATTTTTGAAAGAAAAACACGGTTATTGTCAGTTGCGAAATTAGCCTAGCTTAGCTTAACGTTAGCAGTTAGCTTCTGACTCAAGAGAAAAGAAAACTACTTCCAATTAATCCAGATTTTTCTTTGTTTATGGACACTATTTTTTCCCCCATTCTTAATAGCTGGCGTAAATGCTGTTAAACCCTTTCTAGAGAATTCTTAGAAATATGGATTTCTTCCAAAGTCCATGTATTTTAACATTAAAACGGGAATTAAACGCAGCAATTTTACCGCACAAGATGCCTATTTTTAATCCCAACTACCCATTAGACATCATTTATATGACACAAGGTTCAGTTGCAATTAAAACACTCATAATTAAAGATATTTGTTTTAACAATTTTTCCTTTTTAAATCCTGAACCTATCGGCCAGTACGTTAAAATAAAAAAATAAATATAATATTATTTCAAAACGGCTTTATACTTTGTATTGAAGCTCCATACTGAGAATAAATGCCAAAAAACTAGATTATTTTCTGCAATAATCCAAAATCACATGGAGAAATCCCATTGATGTTTCCTAAAGGGAACCAGGGAGATGCTGCCTTCAGGGTCGGCTACAAAAATACGACATCCCTATACCACCCTTAAAGTTGTGTGAACAGGAGGTAAGCTGCTAACGGTGAAACAACTGTTATAATTGGAATACAAGGATATAAGCATGGAAATAGTTGTAGAAGATAACAAGATGTGCAGTATTTAGCGTCAGTCACCGATATCAGTCGAACCGTAGAGTTTCCACACCCTCCAGCCCAGTATTGAACACACACTTCTTCTTCCCTTCCTGTGTTTTCCTGTATCTCCACCCACTGATTCACACAGAAGGGAAACCATCAAGAGACAAATCTCCTCACAGAATCATGACTCAAGTTCCTGTGAAACCTCGGAGTGAAAGACTTTTCCCGATGGAAACTCCACCGACTTATTTACATCCCACACTACGAACAAAGTCCTCTTTTTTTTGTACTAAAAGTGGAAAATATTACGATAGAATTGACTATATATATACACACACACCTTACATGCTAAATACTGTACTTTCCCTTTTCCTTTATATTTGATTTTGTTACCAGAGACTGTTCACCTGTTATATATTCTTGTGAAACACTATTCAGCGCCAACGTGGACGACTTTAAACGAACAAGAATACGCTTTGAGGCTGTTTTTAGAGGAGGAGGAGGAGGAGGAGGAGGAAGGTGGAGGGATTTTATTTTTGTCTTCCAGCAGGGTTTTTTATGACATTGTCACTCCACTTTGAAAACGCTTCAGCATTTCTTTATGTATTCCTGGTGAAACGGCCACTTTATGTCACTTCTTGTGCCGTGATCGACATTTTCTGCAGGTCATCTTAATCCACGATAACTGACTTTTGAAATACTCAAAGGCAAGAAATGGTCTATAACTGTAGGAATGTGGTTCTCCTTAATGCTTAATGTCATGTTTGTTTAATGCAAAATGAGCAAAACTCTTAACCTTCCTGTTGTTAATGTTGACCTGCTTCTCGATGTTTTAAGTCCCAATAAGGAGGTATATCTAATTGCTACACATTAAGACATTAATAATCACTACTTTTTATTGAAGTATGTGTTTTATTTCAATGTATAGCATCTGGTGTCATTATGTGGCTGTAAAAACACAATGACAGCAACACGTAAGAAAGAGGATCATCCGGGGGTCTCACCTTTCCTACGGTGCAATGAACTACAGTAGGAACGTGATGAGTAACTTCAGCAGAACATATGTTTTTTTGGGAGGGTCTTCAGAGTCACATCCTCTCTACCTCATGACTTGTGTTGAAAAAGATGAGGTTTGAGTAGGGATTTTACAGAAGAGGACGAGCGCCACATTTAAAAGTAATTAAAAAAAAATCTGATCTGAGAAACAAGTCAGAGTTCTGAGATTTACAGAAAATTCCGACTGTTGCTCAGATTTTTATCAGAATTACGACTTTTTTTTCATAATTCCGACTTTTTTATTAGAATCCCGACTTTTTTTGCTCATAATTCCGACTTTTTTTCTTCTCGTAATTTCCACTTTTTTTTCTTCTCGTAATTCCGACTTTTTTCTTCTTCTCGTAATTCCGACTTTTTTGCCCAGAATCCCGACTTTCTTCGTAGAATTCCGACTTTTTTTCTCAGAATTCTGACTTCTTAGTTAAAATGTTGTTTTTAATGTCAGATTTTTTTTTAATAATTCTAATTGTTGGTCAGATCTAAAAATGTCTTCCTCATGTGTTCCTTATCCTCTTCTGTAGAATTCCCTGTCCTTTGGATATGTCAGTATTGTTTCCGTTTAAATGAACAAATGGTTTCCAAAGCATTAAATCCCTGTTATCCTCGTTTCTAAATCAACCGTTCACAAAGTCCTGGGGGTCAGATGTGTAAACAATGCTTATACATAACATCCAGTCATATGTAAAGTAAACAATTCATAGTTTACATCATCAAATGTTTTTGTGACACCCTGCCAAGCTCCATTTTGGGTTAAAAGCCAATTTGAGCCAGTGTGAATGACAGTATATATATATATTATCTATGCATCATGCAATCAACGGCACATCTATTCATTTGAATTCCTCTGGTGTGCTTTATGTCCCCTGTAAATTGCCCCAGCTGTATTTTTTTTTTATATACAACTGATATGTTTTAGTTAAATTTTGCTGTTATTTTTAATTCCATAGAAAACAGAATTGTGATATCTGAATAACACACATAACGAAATGTCTGCAATCTGACCTTGGATATAATGAAATCTAATATGTTTACAGTGTGTTTATAAATTGTGAAAGTTTCCCTCCAAATTTAAGGAAATTATTTTTTGTACGCGTCATTAATGCCATATTTTTATTACCGTGTTATGTTAATTAAGTATTAGGGTCTCATCTGTGGGTTATTTACAGCCCTGTGTGTGTTAATAAACACATGCAATCGTTTCTAATTCCCAATATTCCATGTTTATTTGCTAAGGCAGTAAAAATAATGAAATCATGGTTTTTCAGCTGTTAATGTGCCGATAAAAGTCTGATATGTGTGAATGCATTATGGTTTAAAGGTGACCAGTTGACACTACATGACCACAGTCTAATAATTATGAAGTGTGCTGCTGCAGATTTAGGATGAAATGGAAGACATCTGGTGTCCCAAAACATGACGTTATGTTTAGAATGGTTTAAGCATCCAGAAATCAAACAAACTGTACATTTTCTGCATAATTTTACATCAAATGGAAATGGCGTGATATATATTTCATTTGTGGTTTTTCCCACCAACTCCTCTTACTCCTCTCCTCTCCCCTCAATCCTCTCCCCTCACTCCTCTCCCCCCACTCCTCTCCCCTCACTCCTCTTCCCCCATTCCTCTCCACTCACTCCTCTCCCTCACTCCTCTCCCCCCATTCCTCTCCCCTCACTCCTCTCCCCTCACTCCTCTCCACTCACTCCTCTCCCCTCACTCCTCTCCCCTCACTCCTCTCCCCCCATTCCTCCCACTCACTCCTCTCCACCCACTCCTCTCCCCTCACTCCTCTCCACTCACTCCTCTCCCCTCACTCCTCTCCCCCCATTCTCTCCACTCCGCTCTCCCTCCCCTCCTCCTCTCCACCCCTCCTCTCCCTCACTCCTCTCCACTCACTCCTCTCCCCTCACTCCTCTCCACTCACTCCTCTCCCCCCATTCCTCTCCCCTCACTCCTCTCCCCTCACTCCTCTCCACCTCACTCCTCTCCCCCCATTCCTCTCCCCTCACTCCTCTCCACTCACTCCTCTCCTCTTGTATTGCAAAGTGTTTAAGGAAATAAATGAAACTGCTATGTAAAAGTGTCTGCGTCATTTGGAAATTAAAACAAGTTTTCTTTCTGTGTTTATGTATTTCTTGTAATGCCTTTTATGCAAAGTGTTCATCTGGTATTGCATCAGTAATCGTTGCCTTTTTTGATAAAATATTCTCCTTTTTAGAGTCATGGCATTATTGTAACTTGGCTGCGCCGCTGCGGTTAATTAAAGACCAATGAATACTTTAATTGTATTTTTAAATACCACTGATGATCCTTCGATGTGCACCTTATCTCCTCGACAGCTCAAGAGTCTCGTCAAGCCAAATAATGTTTTTGTTTTTGCATTGAATATATATTTTTGTGCCATGTCACCCTCACTTTGAAGAGGACCGGAACAAGCAGAATAGGATTTTCAAAATAAGAGAAATTGTACAATGTGTCAAAAGTGTTATGAAAATATATTGTTTGAAGTTAAAATGTACTTTTTTTTATTTTCTGTAGCATGTAATGTGTAAATATACCTAGTCAATAAAAATATACCAAATTGTCATTGTGGGCTTTTCATCACTGGTGTGTTAAATTATTGAATACAACATTGTATGAACATGTGTATTCTGCAGTAGCGTGGCGTGGGGAAAAATGTAGGGGAAGCCCATTTTTTGGGTCGGGGGGTGGTCAATAACGTAACCAGATGAGTGATTACAGCGCCCGGTATCATTTGACACACATTTGTATCACACAGATGCAGGACTTGCACACGCCTGTTATCTAACCGACAGGTCCGCACGCACTCTCCAGCTGAAACTCTCTCCTTATTAATTTAAGCATTTTACTTATTAATGTATGCAGACAATCACACAATCTATGTGATTTTTGGATTTACCGTGCCTCTCAATTGCCCGTGACAGGTTGGCAAGGTCGATGAATCCTGAAGTTGCCCAAGGATTGTTCAGGGAGCACGAATCCTTGTCAAAAAGAAGACATGGCCAGCCAAATAGACGCTGAAGTTTAGCGCTTCCAGTTAGCCACTCCGTGCGGACATAATTGTCCTCATTGAACGTCCGATTCTCTCCCTTTTTCCTCTGCGTACACAGCTCGAGTGCGGGCATTTGCCTGTCATCTGATTTAATTTTTAGTTGCTGCTGTAGCGGAAGTTTAGTAAAGTTATGTTTGATTAAGTACGCCAAATCTCCACCCTCCATAATGCTTCATTTGCTTGATAATTTCTAACGGCGGTGATGACAGTTACAGTATTAAAACTGATGTTGATGTGATTTGATTGGATGGCAGTGTCCAATCAAATCGCCAGCCGCCAGCCGCCTCTGAAGGGAAGCAAGAGGCGGCTAGCTTCCCTTGGCATGGCCCTGACCAATCACAGGTTGGCAGGGGCATCACGTGGGCCTCATCTGATTGGTCAATCCCTCCATTTTTTTTCACCAAGGGAAGCTAGATTCTGCTGGCCTCCTCTCGCAACAGTGAGTGCAATCTACTGTTTCACCATAACATCTAGAGGGGCGCTGTTTGTTTCACTCTTTGTAAAATACTCAATGAGAATGGGGGAGAGCCGGGCCGGCAGCAACACACAGCAAAGGAGAATTATCGAAACAAAACAAAGTGTTTGTATTTATTTATTTAAATTATAACTACAATCCGAAAAAACAGGGGAAGCCTGGCTTCCCTTGGCCTCCGGGAGAAAACGCCACTGGTATTCTGTACATTTAAGTAAATTTTTCCCATTTACTGTAACTATATATCATATGCAATATCTTTCAAGCCATTTGAAATAAGAAACCCTTAAAATCACTTTATTTTGAAAGGTGAAATACACCATAATAATCCTGTATTTAATGTGATTAAATTACTTCCTCAGTTTGAAGTGATGGTTTAATTTCACGTCTTGAGCCAAGATATCTCTATTAAATGCATTTGTATTTAAAGTTACATAGACATTTCCCATTAACCGCACTAGTAGAGTGCAATTTATGGGATGTTCTGAACAATTTGGGCATCTAATAAGGCATTGTTGCTGTGTCCTTTTCTAAAATGGGGGGAAAAGTTGTGAAAAAAGATAGAAATTGAGATTTTACATTAATTTCATTTTTGCTTATATTTATGTTTTTATTAATTAAATGTCCCCCTCATTTTAATGGATATTGTTGGGGGTCATTTTGGAGAGAGGTTTATTTCTGGACTTGGCAGGAAGGTGTGTATTTTGTGGATGTACAAAGAGAACAGCTCCGCTCATTCCTATGAGAGCTGCTCTGTGGCGCATGAAGCACAAAATGAAACTAGTGTAGATTCAGAACGTACCCGTACGCGGGCCCACAGAGCATGCGCAGTACAGTTTTCCCTTAAACTCCGCTTCTAATCTCCCGCTCTCTGTCAGTCAGATGAATGGAGAGAGAAAATACCTCTGGATTCAACTTTTTAGCGCATTTGACACCTATTACACCCTAAATATTTAAACAAGGGCTATTAATGTGTTCGTGCTGGGTAGTTTATTCATCCCAAAACAAACTATCCACTGATTTACAGACGTCTCTTTCCCCAATGAAAGTCAACGGGGAAACGTCTTTTGGGGCCAAAATGACGTCACGGAAATTGTAGTACCACCGTTTGGCCACTAAGAACATTCATAAAAATCTACTTCAACGGTCGGGGCATTTCCAGGTTGCTACAGGGTTAGTGAGTACACTTCAGAATTGAAATACTCAAGTAAAGTACCTCAACATTGAACTGAAGTACATTACTTGAGTAAATGTACTTTACTTTACAACACCTATACAAAAGTGAGTCACACTTTTTTGGGTGTGATTTCTTATCGTGCTTTTATTTTGAAGGCAAGACGCCCAACCGGAAATCTCCGTCAAAAATCGACGTAGTTATTTTACACCACTGCAAAAATAAAATAAATAGTTATAATAATGATAATCATAATTTACATCACTGCAAAAAATATGGTGTTCATATAATGTTCTCGAATACATTTTTTTTAACAAGACAGTTGCGTGAAAATATGAAATATGAACTGTGTTTTTATTTATTTATTGTATGTTATTTTGTATTACTTTATATATCTGCCCCTAATGTGGACGTTTTTGTTCAACATATGATGCATACATTATTAATATGATAAACAGATAAAAAAAAGAAAGACCGTTGCGTGGGTACCCGGATGAAGGAGCGTCGCCATCTTTACGGCAGATCCACCGGTGGGTCTTCAGTTCAGGAGCTGCTGAACCGCCTCCAGTGTCTCTCTTTCTGCCCAGAATAACCCTTTCCTGCAGGACTTCCCCCCGTCCCCCAGCACCACCATGGCGGACAGAGAGAACCATGTGTACCAGGCGAAACTGGCCGAGCAAGCGGAGAGATATGACGGTGAGTCCGAGAATAATAAAGAATAATCAGTTGGAGACGAAGCTAAAACACTTCACAGGCACAAAATGGCGGAGGTTTCTCTAGCAGAATTAATCATAAAAAGGTTATAATTGATTGGTGTCGTCTCACAAAGGGAAGTGCCGTGTTGGTCGGCGTGCTTTTGTCGCATGGCCCGGGGTTAGCTGGTGGTAGCTGGTGAGCTAAAGCCAGTCGTTCATTTCCAGAGACAGTTGGCTAATGTTAGCTCGGTTGCTAACTAGCTCAGGTGCTAACTGGCTAGCTAGCCTTTCTTTACCGACACGCGTCACACCATTCAACTGCATTAATACATGTAGTAATTTTTTCAAGTGTTTCTTTATTTCATTTCATTTTTATTATTATTATTATTATAATAATACAAGTGTTTTTTCTTTCATGTCTTTTTTTCAATGCTTCTTTATTTTTTCATTATTTGTTTGTATTTTATATGATTGTTTTTGTACATCACACATTATATACATGCAGAAATCTATATACATGTAGAGTAAAGGTATCCTCCTTTATACCTGGCTCTACTGCATTAATTTGACAGGGGTAGTCACTAGCTACTTTGCCCATTTAGATTATAAATACACAATTTAAATGAACTAATACATTACTATATACTATTATAGGTTAAGCCATCCAGTATTTTATAAAGTAATTTAGATAAACCCCTCTTTTACCATTTGCAACATTGGAGAGATTATTGCATGATTTATTATAATGTAATCATTTAAGTACATATGGTATTTAAATGTGCCATTCTGCATAATGT